CATAATCTGCTAACCTACTTTAAATCGAATTGATATTTCTATGCCTTTGCGTCGGCTTTAGCCGTGGCTAGCATCATGTTTTCGGGGGATGCCTGTCCGTCCTGTCCATTCTTGTAATATCTCAGGAACGCATTGAGGACATGTCTTCAAATTTGGCGCAAATGTCCACTTGCACTCACGATTGAACTGATTAGAATTTGGTGATCAAAGGGCTTTGTGACCGCTCAAAATACGTTTTTAGCCGTAACTCAAGAATTCTTATTACGACAATTTGTAGTGATGACATTTTGGACGGACATGGATGTAAACTGCAACACGACTGGTTGGCGGTTTTTCTTTTTATGTTAACAATGGATACAATGACTACAAGTAACGTGCAGTTACTAAAGTACATCCCTGCTCATTGTTCTGGTTTCATGGCCTGCAGCTTTACTGTTTTGGTTTTGGTTGTGCTAACAGGAAGTTAGTTGTAGTCGAACTCTGTGATTTGACCCACAGCAGTTGGGGTTGTGATATAAACGGCTCATGGAGGCACTTCAGCTACTTCTTCTCGCGACTCGGTCAAATATGAACACACAGACATGATACACGTATTTTAAGATTCAGTATGACTTGCAGATTCAGAGGATGTCATCATCCGATCGTGAATAAACACTTTTATACTTTTTCAAAAATGTGAAAATGCATCTTGATTTTGTCAACACAGTGTATGGTAAAGTCTGCAACACAGGCTTTCTGTTTGAGACGCTATTTACTCAGACACACAAAACTTAAAACATAGCCTTGATGCCCGTCTTGAGCATCTAACAGCATTGTATGAGTAGTAAGACATAAAGCACACCAGCATGTTTATGTATTTAGTTTCTTCATCCAGCCGGAGGCACCAACCGCCTGATCCCCCCCCCCCCCACCCCCTACTTGAAGGGTTGTGTTGAGGGGTTAAAGTGCTTTGAGCTGCTCTATAAGTGTGAGCATTCATAAATGGTGATTCTTCCATACGCACATGCTTTTGTCATGTTGCTATGTACAAAACGTCTTTCAATTCCAGCAAAGCACAAGTGTGATCTTTCTTCTCCACCACCGGCGCACGTCAGCCTTAGAAAGCAGGATGAACGCTATACTCTGCAAATAAAATGGTGGCTGAACATAAATTAGCGGAAGGTTTATCCTCTACATCTGCATCTTTTAAAAATAGCCTCATTTCTACTCAGCCACTGCTAGATGTTCGTGTGTTGTGTATAGCTTGAGGTATAACATGAATTCACCGTGTTCTGTTCAGCAGAAAGAGGACAGTGTTGTGAGACCTTATCTTTTTTGTTTTTTTGTTTCCTTCCTTCCCTTCCTTTGTCCTACATTCGGAAAACAAAAAGAAATACTCCTGTAGAGGAAATGTGTTTGGTGGCGCGATGTTCACACTGTGACAAGCCCGTCCAGACGAGTGCCAGCTGCAGCTCAACACTGGCAGCTCTGTCACCTCCACAACGGGCTGACAAGTGGAGTATACGACCGATTTACTGAGCCAACATTAGTCTCCGTGCCGTGCTCAAATAATACGACAACAAACCAAAATATGTTGAAAGCAAAAAAACTACCTTTATTTTCAGCAGATGCCTCTATAAACATCATTTTTCATAAACGGCAAAGTGTTTATGTTCTTATTTGTAAAAAAATTAATTAAATTTAAAATAACTAAAATGTCCTCGATATCGGTGAGATGCTCACTCAGTTAGCCAGATACGGTATCGGTGACAGTGGGCCGATATTGGTATCGCATGTCATGATTTGACTAAATACTGATTCATTACATTTATTACTATTTATTCATTTGTTAAGTTTTGTTTTGCAATATTAGTAAAGCAATGTTTGAGAATGTTGCCTTGCAGGTAAAAGAATGATCCCAGTCCCTTCCACACAGTGACACATACAGCTTATTGCTTATTATTAAATACACACTGGTATCAGATTAATACCCGGTGTCGGCCTAACTCGGTATAGCGGGACTAAAAAAGTCCGACTTCAGTCAAATCCAATGTGGGAGGATTTCTACCACTGAGGGTGAGAAGTACAGTACAAAAACAAGATTCTTTGTGGGGGAAACTATTGTACACTGCTAACACACAGGAAGTGCAGTTGTGGTTGACAATGGAGAACGTTTTGGGGTAATTTCTTCAGTGATAAACCAGCAAGAGCTGCTGATATGCATGATAACACTTTGTCTTCTTGCTTGCTGTGATCGCTAAAAGAAGCTAGTCTGGCATTCCAGAAAATTGGCAAAAGTAAATGTGCGTTTCCATCCACTACTGCTATGTAAATAGTAGGAGTTGGTTCATTGACACAAACAGTTTATTATTGTCCAGTCGGGGGCCATTATCCATTGCAGAGGAAGTCTCTCGTTCTTCCTCTCTGTCCGTCCCATCTCCTCACCTTCCCTGTTCACCTGTTTCCACTTTCCCTCATCAGCCCTGCAGCAGCCCCCCCGTAGTATTTAAAGGAACGGCTTTAGAGGTGACTGTTGGGGTCTATAATGATGAAATAAAATTGTTTTATCAGCAGCCTTAACCCAGAAATGTCAGTACCACAGGTCCTTCACGTACCACTTTTTTAGAATATTTGGAGCCCTCCTCACAAGGACTCTCTGTTGCCCGGTGCAGGACGGACGCCCTGGGCTCTCTTCCATTCCCCTCTCAGCTTCTCCGTTTTTTTTCCAGATGAGTGGCTGACCGCCTGCCTTCATCCCACCGGCTGGTATTCCCTCAAAGCTGCACATGTCTGCAAGCTTTTAGCCTGAAAAAAGTCAGTTGGCGGAGGGACGGAGGGGAGGGGGGGGGGGGGGGGGCCCATGGCATAAAAGAGCGGGGAGTGATGTCAGAGCTGCTTGGACTCGTTTCAGCCGGACCCCTGGCAGGAGCGTGGATGCTGTGCTGTGTGGTGTGTGTGTGTGTGTGTGCGTGGACATTCTCCAGAGCTGCTCTTAAAAGCTGGATCCCTGTGCCCTCTGTTTCTCTCCATGCGGGTCCTTAAATGTTTTTTAGGGGTTTTCTCAGAATGCAGCAGCACTAGCTCTCCACCTATATGCTGGAAAGTGGGACCTGAATGGGGAAACTGTGTTTTTAAAAATATGAAGTAACCCCCCCCCCCCCCC